GATAAATGTCAGTCACAGATGTGACAGGAAACAGGGACAGCACAGGCAAGGACAGAGAACCTTGTGACGAAGGACTGTAGAGAGAAAAAAAACGATGTAAAAAAATAAATAAAAGGAAACAGTGAAGAGTTATTGTTCCTTTATTTTTATATATAAACTAAAAATGACAGATTAAACCGAGCAGTCAAAGACACACGAGTGCACAATCACAGCACGTATCTCACACTGTTTACCCAAACGTGTGTGGTGCGTTCATGGAGTGCATGATTCTGGGCAGAATTAAAGGCTCATTAACATATAATGTACACGACTCCATGGCTCGTGTTCTAATTTCACATTAAAAGAATCCCCTTAAGCATGAAACCAAATGAAAAATATGCAGCTCCGCTCGGCGCAGACATGCTTCCTCTGAAGACTGCTAACTGCAGTGATTTATTTTAATCCCCTCTTCCCCACCAGCCTGACCTTAAGCCTTCCTATAGCTGCTGCTCAGGCTGCTCCACGCCCAACTCCCAACAAGGCTAGAACACTACACAGAGAGTCAGAGAGAGAGAGAGAGATAAGGGAGAAGAAGAGGAACTAAAGAGGTGCAGTTGACATGTCTATTCTATTACTACGCATGTGGCTGCATTCCAAATTGATTTACATACACTCAGTATCCACACAGCTTAGAGGATTGGCTGTGGCGGGTGCACCGGGGTGAATAACAAGGGGGCGGCAGTGGGGGACGAGAACAGGAAAGACTTTCTAGCCACTGTAGCTCTGCACATGATCACATGTGTACATTTTCCGAACATTTATATTAAAAAATGCAGACTTCAGATTTCTTTCTTAAATATATCAGCGTCAATTTGAGTTTATTCTTATTGTCGAAATAGCTATTGTAAAAATACACATTTTGCTGTTATTTTGTTGTTTTTGAAGATATTATAACAAAATTCCAAAAATCCATTCAGCTTTCATTTGGGAATGATTCATGAGCGATTACAGAGTCTAGAATCTAACGGTCAGAATGACCTCTCGCGGCTGTTCTAGTAGTTTTGGAATTCTGGACCTTCTAGTGTTATATCTAACCGCTTTATTAGTTTTGTCAGTTTTTTTCCTACAACATTTGGAAGACGGCCAGCATCATCATTAAGAAGATTTTAATCATCATTTTTTTGAAAAACATTTGTGCTCAGCACTTTGGTGTGTGTTGTTTCTCAAGCCTGTGGTACTATACAGAGCGTTTTTTACACCGTGGACTGGTTTTACGCAAGACAGTAGTACCGACTATTGTGTTTTAACAAGCGCAACAAATTACAAAAAACACATCATCATTCATAATTCCATTATGACATACCGGGGGGTCCTCAGTGTACAACATCCCCGGCCTGCGGTGTTTCGCTGTTACGTCGCCAGAGAAAAATCTAAAAAGAAAGTCTTGAGTCCTCGTTCTGTCGAGGAGGACGAGTTATGTTGCAGCTAGGAACCGGCCCCCGACTGTAAAGTTAGTTTAAGAACCTGGTGGTGTATGAAAAAAACTGCGACCTAGTCAAATGCAGAAAATAGCAGTGAACGGAAATGATCATTTTTCAGTATTAAAACCACTGAGACTAAAGTTTTTATAATTGTACTGTGGTGCAGTAACAACTGATCTACAACCCAGTACTGGTCCCCAAACCAGTGGTTGAGGGTCCCTGCTTTAATCAGCGGTACAAAGCTCTTCTCCCTGATGTTGGTTTCAATTAAAAGGCTGGCTTGATGAGGTACACTTGGTCAATTTGTAGACAATAAATCAATTATTATTTTTGATAACAGTGAGTGTTTCTTTGTTGAAACGCTCTATGATTTCAACCATGGGATTTTCTTGAGTTAAAGGTTCATTCAATCGTGTTCTGCAGCTTAATTGTTTTCGAGGTTAATGAGAAGCCGATAACAGCGGTCATACGGTGGGGAAGGGGTGTTTTTAGACTATGGGAGAACATAACAACCTGGATTATAAATATTTTTTTCAAAATTATGACAGACAGACTGTTATCTGCAGCACTTGTTGGTCAGCATTTTGGACATTCAAATAGACAAACAGCAGCGTTTTAGGCTTTCATCAGTAGAGTAACCCTCATTATGCACAATGCATACCCTACTATTCAGTCAGCTACACTGTTATATAACAAAGGAGGTAAAACCTCCAGCTAACGACAACATTGGAATACCAAGTCAGAACTCAACATTTAAATAAAGTTCCGGGCACAAACAATGTTCGGCAAAAAATCGGCAGCATCCACATTAAAGATTCTTAAAGTTGGGCCGACTGACTGATGAACCACTAAAGCAGAGAAAGAAGAAAAAAAAAATCCAATGTAAATGCTCCAGGGGGCAGGAGCAACAATCAATCAGTCAAGCTGGCTGATGGGTCCGTCCTGTTTAAATAGTGAGTGACAGAAACAGAGATAGACTATAAATGGGGGAGATGAGGGTAGGGAGAGGATGACCCTGTATTTCATTATGGGTTACAGAGAAATACTGCTGCTTTCCTAACCATTCAGACACACAAAAAAACAAGTAAAATGTTGTTAATGATCAATGACATTAAACAGATTAGTTACCATTGTCCAAAGGTCTGAAAATCCACCAACTCTATGAAGCCACATTTTGAGTTGCTGTTTACTTCTGCATATTTTATTCACTTTTTTTCTATGTCAATAATTCATCAATATCTACCTGCTGCTCAGAAACAAAGCTAACCAACAAATGCGTTAGTTAGCCCAGGTTTGATTGTAACCTGAAGATCCGTGAAGCTACAACCCCAACGTGTAACTTCACCACTGGTTGGTTGTAGTCCTACATACAGAAACAGCTAAAACAAAGATGCTAGCTACAGCGAATGACGTAGTTTGTATGTAGTATGAACTTCTCGAGTAAATTACATTAGCTCGAACTCGATCATATATTCAAATGACAGTTGGCTTTTTAAACCATAACTGTCAGCCCCTGTGGAACGTAAACGACTTCGAGAAATAAGATGCAGTAGTGGTAAGTGAGAGTAAGGCCATATGATTTTTCCCTGTGGGGA